GGGTGTTCATAAAAACCCGAAAAACCGAACCAAACCAAAAACCGAACCAATCCGACCAAAAAAGTTTCTATCCATAGTTAGGGGGTGTTCATAGTTAAGAGTTTCATGGCTGATCTCATGTCCTTCCTTTAGTTTCTTACTGATCATGATTTAGCATCCAGAGACCAATGGTGGGGCATTGTCGTGAAGGTAGTCCATGAGAGAAATAAGTGGTTTACAATTCTATATGATTCTCTCTCTGTATTGGGTGGAGGCCTTAGGTGGGAATCAAAGGCTTTTCTTCAAGTCTTCTTTTCTTTGATCACCTAAGGTCCTTCTTGAGTTTGGCTCAAATGAAGTCATCCCATCAACTTCTTAAAGTGATGATTATTTTCTTGTTTGGTCACATTGAAATTTGCAGCCATAAGAACCGTATTAAATTGGCTAATGCAATACATGCTTGCTTTTAGGCTGGAAACCTAATTTAGTAGATGTAAAAATGAAAAGCGCCCAAATTCAGTGAAGCTTCTCTGTCAAAGTACGCGTAAAGTTGAGAGTTTTTTCTTCTCCACCATTTGCAACTAGTGGAATCAAAATCTATACATGGAGATCTGGAATATATTTTTGGGTTATAACTAGTTTCATTGAATCAAGAGGTTCCAATATTTGGACAATAAAAGAAGAGTCCAGAGATTAATGGTCTCTAAGTGAATGTGCTCTGGTCCTAACCCTGCTTGAAACATGCTGTCTTCAGGAAACCTTGTTCAGGGTATAAACTGAAGGAGATGAGTGGTAGTAATATTTTTTATGCTGATGGTGAAGATGATGCCTCAGAATCTGGAACTGTTAATGGTAACTTTAACAACCGGACATCTGTCCGCATTGTTCAGGTACTATTTTCTTCTTTAGGGTAAAGTTGTGCTCTTGTGTGGATAGCAATTTGAGCATGCTACAAAATAATCTAGTATATGGAAATTTCGTCTAAGGTTTTGTATTTCATTGTAGCAAGCTGCAAACGGGATAAGCCAGATTTCATTCAGTACTGAAGAAAGGATCTCTCCCAAGAAACCTAGCACTCTGACTGAAGTGGCAAAGCAGAGAGAGTTGAGTGGAACACTAGAAAGTGAGCCAGATAGCAAAGTGAAAAAGCAGCTGTCAAATGCAAAGAGCAAGGAACTCAGTGGAAATGACATCTTTGGCCCTCCTGCAGAAATTCCTCCTAGATCTTTGGCTGCTGCCCGATCCATGGAGTCAAAAGAAAGCAAGGACATGGGTGAACCTGCTCCACGAGCTGTACGGACGTCTGTCAAGGTTTCTAATGTGAGTTGTGTATTAGACTTGTTTTCTTTTTTCTTTTTCCAATATCTGTCTATAGTCTTCACTCTTCACTTAACACCTCTTCTAACCCTCCGCCATCCAGACCAAAAGAAGTACGTTTATGCAGTCCACTGAACTATCTTTTTTCTCAAATGAAGCCAAGATATTCAATATGGTAATATATGAGTAGGTGTTGGGAGAAACAAGAGGCTTGCCGGGCCTCATTTTGATTTTAACTTGAACAAAGATTGGGATCAAGTAGATATTTGGTAATTTACTGAAAAACTGGCATAAAATATGTAGAAGGATTTAAATTTAAAGCGTCAGGCAGATTGAAAGTTGAAGGAGAAAGAGTAGTAGTTCAGTGAGGTGCTTCTCAATATACCATGGAACTGGAGGAAATCTATCAAACAACTACTAATTTTTTTGTACTTCCTCTATGTCTAAAACAACTGTATTTCTTGAGAATCTTTTTTTTCTTTTCCAAAATTGGGTTTTCTCCTTATTTTGGCTTATTAGCTGTTATGATCTCTCATGTGGCTGTGTTATTCTGTAGCCTGCTGGTGGTCAAAGCAATATCTTGTTTGGTGATGAACCTGTTGTCAACACAGTAAAGAAAATACATGACCAGAAGTTTGCAGAGTTGACCGGCAATGACATTTTCAAGGGAGATGTCCCTCCTGGATCTGCAGAAAAGCCACTGAGCAGAGCA